TGACTGGTGAATGTGGGCACATGACTGCTGAATGTGGGCACCTGATTGGCACATGGCTGCTCAATGCATGTAACCAGGAGGATGTGGGCAGTTATGATGCTGAGACTCAATCAAGGCAGTTGTTGAGGCAGTTCTGGATGTCCCCAGTCTGAATCCAGTCTAGATGCATGCTGATGAAGGGGCAGTTCCACAGCAGTTACTTGAAGTGGTGGAACTGCCTGCCAGGTGTTGCACAGAGACCAAGTCTACTAGTCCAGTATGCTAGGGAATAGCAAAAACGTGGGTAACTACCCCTTGGCAGATGGGGGTGTCATCTGCCTTCCTCATGTATAAATAGAGGTGCTTGAGCATTCTGGAAGGTAGAGAGTGTTCTGGCTTTTGAGAGTCCTTGTAAATTGTTGAGTTTAATATATAAGGTTTGGGAGTGTTGTTCCAGTAGATTCGTGTGTGCCTTCTGTGTGAGTTTCTGTCCCTTATTCTTGAGTTGAGTGTGGCTGGTTGTAATAGCAACGCCTTCACAGGTAACCTCAAAAGAAAAACGAAAGTTATCCTGTGACATTAAGCAAGGTTATTAAGCCATGAATCAGGTCCATGATTTTGGAAAAAGATGACTTACTTTTTTTTAAGACGTGATAAAATATTTTCGATTGACACTTGAGGTCATACAAATCACTCTCTCATGATTCGAAGGCGATTGTGCGTGTGACTAGCTTAGTTGAAATTGATTAACTCGTACAGACTCGTACGTGTGTGGACTCGTGGTCCCACTACATCACAGCAGCTTCACTCTCTCTACCTGTACCAGTAGAAACCAGTAGGTAGTAATAACCGCTCGCTCCTAGTTCTAACCGTCTCTCTCTCCCAATCCAATCACAACGACCTAGGAAAAGCGGGAACCTCAATTTTCAAAGCTCACGGGAAAAAAAGCTAACGGCATACTTTACACGCATTTTTCGACAAATTCAAATCGACAAAGTAGTAACAGAATGGCCACAGAGCAAAAAGAAGACCCTCATACTCTGCAGGTACTCTCTCTCTCTCTCTCTACCCTACGGATACGCTTTTTGATTAATTATATACATATATACCGAGCGTGTCGTATGTATAGTTCTGTAGATCTAGGGTTCCAAAATCCCCTTACATCATCAATTCTACATTTTTCTTTGCTCGTATATACATGTATAACCTCGCATATATATGCAGAAGGAAGAGGAAGAGAAGGATTTCAATCTCGGATCTGACGAATCTGAAGCTCCATTTCCCCTCGGTGTCCCTTCTAGGGTTAGTTCTTTAGTCATTAATTTTCATTTCCTAAATTCTAGAGAGAGAGAGAGAGAGTAGTGGATTTTGATTGTAAATTGTGGTGATGGCGTTTGTGGATTCAGGTATTGTATATGTTAGGGGACATTACGGCAGGTCCGGCGTATCGCTTCACGCAATGGGTGGAATTGGTTCGTAAGCGTAGCGGCACGTACCGGTCCTCCGGATTCCCACACCGGCCTCAGAGAACCAATACTATGCCCTTGAGGTTAAGTTCGATGGCCTTTATTGGAAATGTTGTTTCTCTATAGTTGGTGAATTTTCGTGCCAAGTTTATGTGAACTTAAATGCAATGACTAGGTGTAGCTAGCTGATTAGTGTTTCTGAACGATGTGGATATGCTGAGTGAAATATGGTTTCTGCTATGCAAATTTCTCGGTCTGCTCTGTCATGCAACATCAGGAAACTAAAAGTTGAGGAAATTTATGTTTAATATGTCATTACTTTCTGATAAAAAAAAAATGTATGATCCGTAAGTCTTCTTACAATAATCCTGCTAGTTCTGTCTGGGCCTATTCGTGGCAGTTTTTATTCATTTCAAACAAACCAATTTTCTGCTGAAGTTTTCTTGTTCTTTGTTAAAAAGTTTGATTGCTAACTCTTGTAGATTGGTTTCATCGTTATTATGTTGTTTCCATAATGATTCTGGTTCAGTGCAGGAGAATCAAGTTCTGAATCTGATTTAAAGAGTGTCCCACCTTCAGAGCAAGCTACAGAAATCAGTTTGTGGGAAAGATTTAGTAAAGCTGTTATGTTGGACATTGAATCTAGCTCCTTTTCTTGGAACACGCTATCTTCCCTTCACCACACTGAACATAGCAGCAGTGCTGAACAGTCTGAGGACGAAATGAATAAAGCATTAGAAGTATGTAATACTCTCAGCTTTACTTTGCTGAAGGGTATGTTTCTCGTTTATATCTGTGTCAGGAAATCAGAATTTGTGGAAAAATTTAGGAAACCCAGGCAATCATTGTTGACACTGTCACCTTTCCTTTTTTTTTTCAGGATTTTGTTGTTTTGGGGTTTTTCTTCATGTTTTTCCCCCGAGCAAGAAATCAAAACCTTGTTTACACTTATAGGTCAACAACTATCTAGTGGTAAAAATTAAACAACTATCTGTATAAAAACTTGGTGAATTTTTATTTGGCTGGTTTTCTGGACCCTTAACGGGCCCAAATTAGTAAAATAAGTATGAAAAGGCTCTATCCTTCTTGTCAAGAGATGCATTGGAGCTTTGTAAACAAGATTAAGTCAGAAAAATTCAGTTAGTTGCTCAAACTTGCCATAACCCCCCCCCCCCCCCCCCCCCC